GAGTCTCAGGTCGAGACTGAACTCAAGAAATCAAGCAATAATTATTCGGGCAAACGTTTGAGTCGCTGATGTGGGTTATCCCCGTCGCCGTTGTTATTATCGTCGACGACGACAAATGTCTCGGATTAATATAACCGGATCGCACCTTCACACTCTCGCTCCCATCGACGATTGTAAACCATTCATTCTGAAACCGTCTGCCAGATTAATTATTTGCCAAATTTATTATTCGATCATAAACTTATTTTAGATTCAAATGTTGTTCGACCAAACGGTCTCGGTCGACGCTTCGAAAGAAATGCAACCGAATTTAAACATTTTCTTTACATTTCACAAAGTCGCCGATGAGTGCGAGTGAAAAGTTTGTCGCCAATGTCTCTTTATGGCTATGTAAATCGTTGTGAGTTTCCGATTAAACAAATGAAATACGAATCGTCGACTAGGTTTCCCTTTTGAGGAGATATTTATTCGATTAAAATCGGAATTAATTTCGGAGAAAAGGTGATGCAGTGCAGTGTCAACTTTCACCGGACTTAGAGCTTTAGCCGGAGAAAATACGAATATTCAAATATCAAAGACTATGCAAACCGATGGAAAAAGGATGAACTCCATGGAATTTTTAATGTAGTATTCAAATTACGTGGTCATCAAACAGAAAATTCGAACATTTTCTCGTAAATTTTGCCATTTTCAACATTTTATTTCAAATTCGTTTTTTCATTATGGCAAATAAAATTTCGAGAATTTTCCCATATATATTTATTTTTAGAATTCATCGCTGGTTTTCTGCGTAATCAAACAAAGAAAATCCATGGGATTGTGAGCGCAAGTGTGCATAATCAGTTCAATTCAATATATTTCATATATTTATCATTTCCAAGTGTTATCGACTCGATTCATGTGTTAACTTTTGGGTTCTACTTTGAAACATCTCCCTCCCGGTGCCGATGATAGTCCACTCCAAATGGTATTCGAATTGAAAAGCAATGATCCCACTACATTTCGAATGTGTGATTTATCCATGCATATGCAATAGTTGAATGGCAAATCATCGGCAAAGCGATAAAAATACAATAAAATAAAGGGAGCCAACGACTGCTTTTTAACTCAATAAAATTTTGCCCATGAATTGAAAAGTTAAAACTATGACCCAACCTTTTTTCTATCGTATTTTTTTCTGCTTTTTTTTCCTTTTCCCCATCTTTATCTCTGCTGCAGTGTGTTCTTCAGCTTCGGTGTGTTTATCTCAATCTATTTGGTAAACTAAATGCTTTGGATGAGTCTCTTTTGAATGGGACGACATATGTAGTTTACGGTCGAGTTCAGTGTCGTTGTTTTTATTTACGATGGCATCAACGATGAATTGGTCATAGTTGTGAGAATTGGGGCTGGAGGAGTTTTCGGCACATTGGGTCGTCGTCACTCCGATAAAACCGAGCCGCTTGTTTGCCCGAGCATCCAAGCAACGGCGATGTTTCACACTTCGTAACACTTTTGGCACTTTTGGCATTGAGTTTGTAATAATAACATTTCTGGGGGCGCCAATGTTATAAATTTATCACTTGTCGTGATGATTCGACCGCATTCAAATGAACTACGGGCCCAGTGTGATTATGAGTCAGGAACATTTGAATTTTCTGCATACATTTCTTTTCTCATTTCATTTATGGGCATTTTTCGATGTCACACGTTTGAAATCGTCCCTTCGCACCGACACATAGAGAATGAGAATATAAAAATATCTATGATAATTTTCATGCCGCCACTCAAAGAAATCTTCAAACTGCTATAAATTTTATGAAGCCTTCCAATTTCTGCCAAAATTTATAGGCGATGACACTTAGCACCGTTTGCGTGTCGGTGTGTGCGCTGTTTGACCGTCTTTTCTAGTTTAATTTTTTTTTCTCTTGTGCTCCGTCGCTCGCATTTATCGCCGTGTGTGCAGCCGGACGACGATGTGCCACACAGTGAAACACACTGGTCAATTGAATAAAAAAAATTTTAGTGCGAAACTGTAAAACGAAATGCACATTTCCACAGTTCGGGGTCGAAGATACGAAATGGACATGCAGTGTGAAATTAACGACTCGCAACCCGGATTACGACGACGACGACGAAAAATGAACCGACAAACTGTGAAATACTATATAATTTATGGTCATTGTGAACCCATTTTGCAAATGCTGAAATTAACAAAAATGCTACTTTTTCACACAATTTATGACGCAATAAAAGATATTTACATTTTATTTTCATCGGCCAAATGGAATGAACTGAACAGTTGGCCAAGTTTTATTGAAAAAATGACGCTTTAGTTTGAGTGGCATAAAAGAAAGGGAGAGTGCTTTGGTGCTTTGAATCGAACAGAATTTACGTGAATCAAATTAAAAAAAATAGCGATTCGGCGGGCATCGTAAAGAATTTCAAGGGATTTTTCGCTTTTGCAAAGATTAACCCGTTTTTTCCTTCGCTAGAGAATCTTTTTTATTGAGACAAAACCATCCGATTCGGAAAGATATGAAAGAATTTAAACGATTTAGCAATTACAATTCCGCAATTACATGTTCACTGTTTAATCACTTTTCCGGCGCAAAAGAAACTATGTAGCGAAAAAATATGCTGCACAAGCAAACGATGAACCATTTAACGGTTTGAATTAAATCATCGGCATTTTTCCATTAAAACATGCAACAAAATTGCACAGCACCACCGCAACGATACAAGCTGCACATGTGTTGCATCGACTTATATGCAGCGACACTATTCCATCCGGAAAATGGTTCATATTTGGAGCGATTTCATTGGAATACCGTTCAATTATTCACACCGTTAACAGAACCAATTAACATCGTGCCATTGAAACGATATTGCACCGGATGCGGAATACTACTTCATTTTGCAAATGCAGCTCGTTAGTCTCACATTCTCTCGGCGTCTTCAGCTGAAATGATGAAGAATGTGCAAATGAAGAACGACGGTTCAAACTCCAATGAGCCAAAGCCATTATAAACGATAGGCACCGCACGGCAAAAATATCTTTCTGCAAAGTAATTTTGCAAGGCAGTCGATCGATGGGAAATTCTTCGGTGATTTTCAATATAATTATTCCGTTCAATTTCATCACAATTATTTTCCGTGCGTTATTTTCCAATAAAACTCTCTCTGTGTGTGTCGCTCTCGTTCTGCCAAATAGCACAATGGATTCTTATTTCGAGCCATCGAAGGCATATTTACGCGGGTTCGATTTTGCCTTGTCTTGGTTTGCTGTGTTTCGTAACTTAATTTTAATGCACTGCAAATAAAGTCGAGGTGGCTGGTGTTTTGAGAGTGTTCACCAAACCATATTGTTGCTGAAAATATTTTCGTGTCTTGTTTCGCATTTCTGCATCGCGCGCGGCGTTTCACATTTTTCGTTTCCGTTACGTTGAGCGGTTGGCACAGAGAAAAATAAACCGAACCGTGAACAAAAAGTGCAAGTGCACGCCGTGCCATAATAACACATTGCTGCTACGCTATACAAATTGAATGTTGGCTGAATGGACGAGACGAGGGTGGGGGAGAAAGAAAAAGGAAAGTGATAAAAGGAGTCATGTTCTTTTGCCATTTATCAATACCGATCGCAATATTTTTTCCTTCATTCTTCGTTGCATTCTTTTTTCAAACATTTTTCCCAGTTATTCAATGGATTCTGTGCGCTTTTTTTTCCTTTTGTCGTCATCGTTCGCGAGAAATAAAATCACATTTAGCAACTTCAGTGCTTACACATTGAATGTCATACTTTGTGCACAAAATAAGACAGGAAAAATTATTATATTTTTTTCTCAAGCAAAGAACGAGAATGGGGGGAAGCACGAAAGGTTTGTGCCAACTGCATGCTCAACAATGAAATCGCATTATAGACACGTCGAACACAACTACACCCCCTGGAAAAAGTAAACAATATGCCATGCCATGTCAATGCTTGTATTGTACGCCTGCTCAGCGAATGTGCACCACAATTTGTATTCAATTTGTCATGAAATAACTTTTTCCTTCTGTATTTGCAGCGGTGAAAAATTGCACCGCGTGCTCACTGCTCACCCATTGGCAAAATGATTTCATTTTTAATACCGTAAAACGGCAATTCTTCTTTCAATACAAAAGAACATGAAATACGAATGGAACTCTTTCGAACGGATCTTAATTCAACTTGTGTAACTTACGATAATTAGAGACATGCATCTGCGAAGTACATAAGACGATAAGCAATTCGCCTTTTTCAGCGAATTGAAGAGTTTTTTTTTTTATCATTTTAAATTATGAACAAATTCCAAATAGACATTTCTTGAACAATTTATGTCAATATTTTTGCTGCCGTTCAAATGCCGTTATTTCTTTCTCATTTTGTAAATATATTTGCAAATTAAACACATAACTTCTGAGAATGGGTATAATCGCTGAAATCACTATTCAAGTCCATACAGCATTAATGTCAATACAATCAAATAAACAATTTATATTAATGGACAATCCATTTTGGCTGAATTGCATCGTCAGTTAATTTGTTACATGGAATGACTGGACCAAACTTTTGCTAGTCCAATCATGTCGCTTTCCATAGAATCATCGAGTGACATCATATTGTACGAGTTATGCGAACACAGGCCTTTGTAGATCAGCAACACTCGAGCACTCACTAATACTCTTATACGTCGTCTTTACTTGCGTGAAGCATACAATGTGTGATATAAGCAAGCGATGCTGTTGTTGCGGCGGTTATCTTTTGTTTATAAAATGTGGCAAATACTATAGCTCAACATAAGAAAAGGGAATATGAATTGGTGTGACATATATTTGTCTCTTTCATTCAAATACATGCGTCTGAAACTATATAAAGCGGTATGATCAGCAATGCAACAGGCTAATTGAGAAAGAAAAATATTCTGGAGCAAGTGTTAATGTGGTATATATTTCAGTGTCACAACGCTAACGTTTTCATAACTGTTCAAGTCATTTGGTCGTACACATCGTTACAAAGTGCTCACATCTTGCGGTTTAACAAAATTGTTTTCTTGAGAATACAATACGTTTTGGAGTCAAAATCTTTTCTATTAAAATTTGATTGAGAAATCACATCTTTTTTCGACATATCATTCGAAGTGACTAAAGGTATGATTTTGATATTATTTATTTCTCAAAGTGATGATAATGATCCTATGTTCCTACAAAACAAATATGTTGTTCATTTCATTCGATTGATTCATGTGAAATTTTCTAGATCGTTCTGCGATGGAAAGTACGTCGACTAATTCTGCTCCTGAATCGAATTCGGCACGAGCTGTTCAAATTATTTGTCCCGAAAATCATAAATTCAAAATAAATTTGGATGAGTTCAACAAAATTCCCAACCTGAACGACATGAAGGATCGTCACGTCGTCGTCGTATCGATTGCTGGTGCATTTCGAAAAGGAAAAAGTTTCTTGTTGAACTTTTTCCTTAAATATTTAAATGCCCAGGTAATTTTTTCAAAGTGAAAATATTTTATGCATTTGCTTACCATTTTTAACTTACAATTGAACAGTATAAAAAACATGACGTCTCGGATTGGCTTGGTGAAAATGGAAACATGGATGAATTAAGTGGTTTTAAGTGGCGTGGTGGCCGAAAACCCGAGACAACTGGCATTTGGATGTGGTCGGAAGTGTTTACTCATGACTTCAGCGATGGCGAAAAGGTTGCCATCATTCTACTGGATACACAAGGTATTTTCGATCATCAAAGCAGTTGGCGTGATTGCACTGCGACCTTTGCACTCAGTATGCTGTTGGCCTCAGTGCAATGCTACAATGTCATGCAGAATGTCCAAGAAGATGACTTGGAAAATTTGGAAATGTTCACCGAATATGGTCGACTTGCTCTTGAACAATCACGCGAAAAACCATTTCAAAAATTGCTTTTCATCATTCGAGACTGGCCAAACGCATTTGAAACTAGCTACGGATGGAACGGTCAACAAGTAATCGATGAAATTCTGAGCGAAGACGACGGTCAAACATCCGAAAATCGAAAACTGAGAGACCGTATCAAGTCAAGTTTCAAAGAAGTGAAGGCATTTTTGATGCCTCACCCAGGCAAGGATGTGGCACAAAGTGGGAAATTTACCGTGAAATTACAGCAAATCGATCCAGAGTTCGTGAAATATCTCAAGGAATTGGTTCCAGCTTTGTTTGCTCCCGAAAATCTCGTCGTCAAGAAGATCAACAATGAAAGTGTACGAGTTGGTGATTTGGTACAATATTTGCAAGCATATGCCAACCTGTTCAATGACAATAAATTACCCGAACCAAAAACGATTCTAACGGTATGGTTTCTCATATTTTGAACGAATCCAATATTATGGCCATTTACAAAACTAATTTTGATTCATTCAATTAGGCAACGGCCGAAGTGAATAATTCGATATTTCACGGTGAATGCTTGCATTTTTATGAAGTTTCAATGCAAAAGGAAATGGAAAAAGCTTCACCGTATTACACCGACTCGGAACTTCAGGATATTCATCAAAAACTCAAAGATGAAACAATGAAAAAAGTAAGACGGTTTTTAATGTTTGACCATTCTTCTTTCTATTATTGTTCCAATCGAATATGGTTTGAAATAGTTTCTAGAAAAACCCAAACTTGGCGGCGATCAATTAGCTTCCACTTTTTTCAACCAACTCGAAGGTGAAGTAGCGCAAAAATTGCTCTTTTTTCAGCGCGAAAACGATATGAAACAAAACAATGCCATTGTAAGTTCCTTTCGTAAATCTCTTAATCTCAGCAGTAGTTAAAATACTTCGTTTTTATACTTTTCACAAGATCCAGGAAAAAGCTGACAAATTGAACAAAGTTGCTGAAGAATTGAAAGATAGAATTGAATCTCTCGAAAATCAAAAGGACAACCTGTCATCTGAAATATATGAGGAGAGACTTCGCCATCTCGAAAAGGTATCAGACGAGCATGAACTATAATTGATTCATGAAACAAATAATTCAAACATATTATTCAATTTACAGGAATTCAACACCACACACAACTACACTTTGCGCGACCAACTGAAAGCCACATTCGAGAATAATATGATGAATCAAATCGGCAATTCACATCTGAATGACACTGACTTGATGAATTCATTCCATGAAGTTAAAGCATCTATTTTGCGCGATGTAAGTTTCCATATTATTTGTTTCTTTCTTGGTCAACTGATTCTTTTTGGTTTTAGTTTGATTCTAGTAAAAAAGGTGATAACGATATCTCTGGAAGTGTTCGTCAAAAATTGGAACGGGACATGGATAACGCGCTTTTCGGTATAAAACGATGGAATGAATCGAATAAGCTGCCACCACCCCACGCGATGGTTGTACTATACTATAATGTGTGGCTTTGGATTCACTGAAACAATAATAATTATTCGCAAAAGTACTACATCTACTTCTCCATTGATATCAATCAATTTTTATTCGATGACGATACAAGTGATTCAATTCTTTCTTAAAATAACCAACAGCAAAATTCCATACATTTTTCATTATCCTCTTCGAAATATAGTTAGAATATTGCTTTCGCAAAATCATTCGAACAAACAAACAAAACTGTATCAACAACTACATGAATAATTGTCAAAATAAAAAGAAATAAATATTCTTTAAACTAAAAGATTGACATTTTGTGCCTAATAATTTGTAAAAGTCCCATGTTTCAATGGATGACGGTACTATTTATACCAACATTTTAATTTTAAGACTGCACACTCAATATTATAGCGACATCTATTATTAAAATAGCTTGTAGAAAACGCATTCATAGCATTTCACTATAGTTTCGATGTTACCTATTAAATTTCCCTGTGGTATGTAGTTAACAAGTGTCAAACATGAATGTGTCAGTACTACAAGAGAATTTATTAGGAAATATCGCAACTACAGGGAAATGCTATATATGCATTCACTACAAGCTATTTTAATAATAGAAGTCGCTATAATATGGAGTGTGTGGAATCTTCATCAACAATTTGGATGAATCACAACTATGACAATTTTAAACATTGATTGAGTTGAATATTGAATACCAATCTTTCAATATCTTTTTCCAAGGATTCTTCAGAGCTTCTTAATTTGTTCTTAATGCATTGCGAAATGATGGCTTTTCAGGAAATACTCAAAATCAAGAAAGAGAAGAGAAACGAAAGATAAAAACTCGATGTCGCTGATCAAATTCCATTTTGGTTTGAAATATTTACATATTCATTCCGGAAAATGTTTTTTTAGCATACAAAGTAAGTAAAAAAATTATTAAATGTTGCAATGGATAGTCTAAATACATAAAAGTAACAACAAACTATATAAACAGTAAATGTAGCTGTCACTCGTTTTCGCTTTCATAATCATAAATAGTGTTTATGCTTGAATACTTTACTGATGAGATCATACAAATCGCTATATTTCTCTCGCTTCGAAGATTTCGACTTGAATGTGTTTGTTTCAACAAATCGCATACACAGAAACATTGAAGTCTACATGAAAAATACATATACTGTATGTGTGAATCGTGCTCCGACTTCATTGCGGTGTGAAACGTTAACCAGTTAAGTTCATTCTGTTCATCCCGAATTGAAATCAGTACAAGTTCTTGTTGTAATATAAAAATTTATCCGAATAGTTGGTGATAATCATCACATTTTTGATACATCCAATCGATTTTCGATTGATTAGTCCACTATAATAATCTAGTGCAATGGAGGAATCACCACAAGCTGTTCAAATTGTGTCTCCATCAAATCATTCATTTGAACTGCATTTTTTTGAATTGGAACGGATCCTGGGTGCTAGCGATATAAGAGATCGATATGTTGTCGTGGTTTCAATAGCTGGTGCATTCCGGAAAGGAAAGAGTTTTCTGATGAACTTTTTCCTTAGATATTTAGAAGCAGGTAATAATAATATAATAATTTAATCGACTTGTTATAATGAAAATAACAGAGCGTGTTTTGAGCTGACGTTAGCAGCACTAACTAACGTCAGCTGCTGATATCAGCTGCTGACGATTATGCGTTGCGTTGTTTTAACGCATTTGCAGTATAAAAACGAGATATTCTCCAAACATACCAATGAGATGTTTGCTTGCCTCTTCGTTTTTATACTGCAAATGCGTTAAAACAACGCAACGCATACTCGTCAGCAGCTGACGTTAGTTAGTGCTGCTAACGTCAGCTCAAAATACGCTATGAAAAATAATTGTGTTTGGAATTTTTTACGATAATATATTTGAGAGTACACGAAGAAAAATGTGAATGACTGGTTAACGGAGCTCAATGTTGAACGTGGATTCAAGTCGCGTGGTGGTCAACAGCCCGAAACGACGGGAATTTGGATGTGGTCCGATGTTTTTACGCATGATCACAACGGCAAAGAATTGGCCATCATTCTGCTTGACACCCAAGGGATTTTTGACAATCGAAGCAGTGTGAAAGATTGTATTACGATCTTTGCACTGAGCATGATGCTCGCTTCCGTGCAGTGCTACAATTTGATGCAAAATGTTCAAGAGGACGATCTACAGCATTTAGAACTGTTCAGTGAATATGGAAAACTTGTACTTGGCCAATCAAATGAAAAACCATTTCAAAAGTTGCTGTTCATCGTTCGCGACTGGCCCAACTCATTTGAAACTGGCTACGGATGGAATGGGCAATAAGTGATCGATAAAATTTTGAGCAAAGACAACGGCCAAACACCCGAGAAACGAATGTTAAGAGATCGCATAAAGTCAAGTTTTGAAGAAATAACGGCATTTTTGATGCCTTCCCCAGGCATGGCTGTAGCACAGGGTGGAAACCTCATCGTTCAATTACAACAAATCGAATCAGAATTCATTAAATATGTCAAAGAATTGGCTCCAGCTATTTTTGCTCCTGAAAATCTGATCATCAAGAAGGTCAATGGCCAAGAGCTACGCACACGTGATTGGATTCAGTATATTCAAACATACACTGGCATTTTCAATGTCAAAGTGACATATTGCCTGAACCAAAAACGATTCTGATGGTGAGTATACTGGATTTTACGAAAATCGAAGCATTTTTAGTACGAACTGTTTTTCACAACTGCATTTTTAATGATAATTGAATACGTGTTATTAAAAAAGGCAACAGCAGAAGCAGGATATTTGATACTAAAAAACGATTGCTTGAACATTTATGGTGATTCCATGCGAAAATCACTTGATGCAATGGATGCATATTTCAGTGAATCAGAACTTATGATTCATCATCAAAATGCTTTGGCAACAGCAATTGCTAAGGTATCTGATGAAACGTATTACTCAAATTTATTTGTTTGATCATTTTATTGTTGTCTATCAATTTATGAAATGAATGTTTGCTTTAATCTCACTACATATTTAAAATAGTTTACAGAAAGGCCAAAGCTCGGCGGCGATGAACTTGTTGCTCAATTCAAATATAAAATCGAAAGTGCCATCGAAGAAAAATTCGTCTTCTTCGATCGAGAAAACGGTGTGAAGGAGAAGGTTTTTATTGTGAGTATGGTATTGAGTACCCTAATGCTAATCAGTATAACAAATGATGATTGTCATTTCGGGAAAAAGCTAATTTGCACAATGGAAACACTAGCAAACCAGTGATCATTCTAGTTGGAGCAACAACAGGTGCAATCATTGGTTCAGAATTTGGTCCCGTGGGCGTATTTATTGGATCGATTTTGGGTGGAATTGCTGGTTTTTTTAGGCGATAAGGGTTTGAATACAAACAAAAATTGAACAGCGATTCTAATCACCTCGCACTACTTATGTATGAATTGCTTGCTAAACAACGTCTTTGTGAAACTTCATAGAATACACCATCAGAAGAGTATAGAAAAAACTGGCCCTTTAGTGTGTGAATCTCAAAAATATGCATTTATTTTTCAAAAATCTTGCTTCAATCAAAATTTAAGTTTTATCAATTTTATAGTCAGATTTATCAAATAACCACAGACAACTTTATTCTATTCTGTACAAATGATTTGAACGCCATGAATAAACAGAATCAGTTTTTTAAAATAATTCAATAGCAAAAAATCTTAATTTATTATAAATTCGATAGGCTGGAAACCATTTGTTTGTTCCAAAGGTAAGTCAAAGAATGTCGTTAATGACATGAAATCGGTTCAATAACCAATTATTTTCGATGTGTTTACAGAAGTAAGTATTCAAGTCTTTTCTTTATTTTTGAGACAAATTTGAATGAAACTATAATGCAAATATTGTGTGGAATCTCATGTGATTATTTTTTGGCGCAATTTGAATTTGATATCCATCATATTACAACAATGGGCATCTTTGGGATGTTTATTTTAAAAACATAGCACATTTATATTCCGAATAGAAATTAATTCAAAATACAAATGATAGGATTTATTGATTATCTATTTTAGGATAAGCCATGAACTGTGAGTAACTACGTGTACCTAGTGTCATTACTA